GTTCTTCTTCAACACTGGCTGCTATATATATGTGCAGCAGCTGTTGAAGAAAGACACACACAATACACAAGACACAAAACTGAAAACGCTCAACAGATTTGGCTATACATTGCACTCCTTCCTCTCAGCATTTCCATACGATTTTCTGAGTTTCTACTCCTTCGTTCTGCATTGTTTTAACTTCAAACAAAGCAACTGTAAGTGTGATTTGCTACCGAACTTTGTGTTCGCTGAAACACTGAGGTTTGAAGTACCGCTACACCAGTATGTGATTCGTTCTATCTTGGGAGGAAATAATCCATTACCTTGGGTACTAGGAGGGGATTAAATTCCTTAAGGAAACACTGTGAATTTAGTGGGCTCGAATTAATTACTGTTTCATTACGATAACTTATATTTTGCAGAATTATTATTTACAAATACAGCAATATTGGCGGGAATAACAGTAGTAAGCTTGGATTTTATACTCTGAATCTTTCTTTATTAGAACATTTACGAGTTCTTTAATTATAAATGCTAATTCTGAGAAATCATTCTTATGGCCTGTTGAAAGCTGATTCTAAATACGTTTCTCTTTTTATTGCCTAGTGTGCTACGTGTTTGTTGAGAGGACTTTGTCAATGCTTTGCTTACTGTAATTTGTTACCTGCACTCTTACCTCAGTCTTGGAGCTGCACAGTTGACACCTGAGTTTGGTTCAGAGGCAGTGCAGAGACATGTTACTTTGCTAGATATGAATTTGGAGAACTCAAATTCTGATGTAGCACAAGATAGACTCAATGAAGTCTGATAAACTGCAGAAAGAAATTCAAAACCTCAATGCTGCAAGCTCTTTTGTTGGCTCTCGTCTTTGTGCACAATGTTGAAACTGCTAAAATGAAGCTGTTGAAGAAGCAGTTGAAGTTTGAAAAGATGCTGGTAAAGCATGCCAAACAAGTAGCTGACTTCGAAAAGACTCGTAATGATATATTACAGCAAGAATTAGTTAGCTTAAGCCTTAAAGCAGGAGTTTGTTCACTTTTCAACACCTCTAAATTTATTGGACTGCTGCTTCTTTCAAAATGATCAAGAAAAGGTTGGTTTCTCTTATGTGTGCTATTAGTTAAATTAAAGCTTTCGTGTTATTGGGAGGAATGTTGATTAAGTTTCTCTCCTAACTTTGAAACATGATATTTAACTATTTTTAAAGTCATATTACTCATAAAATGTTGCGTGGATTTTGAAAATGGTTGACATGTTTGACAAGGTTGACCATACCTTGCTGTTCCCTACCTTTTCAATTTTGGTTTGCTTTGGTTCTTTGTCATTCTCCTTGCAAATTCATGCACGAGACTGCCCGGGATGTTCTCTTTACTAATAAGATTATCCTGCAATGCAGGTTTCTGACTTAAACTTTAGAAGCAAACAGTCTGGATTGGGACCTTGTCACTGTTGGAAAATAATTTTGTAAAGTTAGGTTCTCTTGGAAAGATCCCTTCAAGCAAAAGATAGAAGGTACTCTACCACTGCTTCCTATATGTGGCCGGAACGACCCTGGATCAATATCAGGTATTAATTCTAATTTGGAGCCTCTACTTTGATTGTAATATCATGTGTTTGGCTTTTTTATCATAGGCAATTTTGATAAATTTAGCAACACAGGCTAGAGCAGAAGTGCATCCAGACTCAATCCTGTGTAAAAGCTCGTGGTAGAAAAGGAACTCGAGTTATGGAAAAGCAGTCTTTTCTCTCAATCTTTCTACTTCAGCATTTAGATTTCATACATTAATTTTCATTCTTAGAATGCAGGACTGACAAGTAATCTTTTGCATAACTTACATTTATGACTGCTTGAACTGAAAGTAGTTTTTGCATTAGCGAACTGCAAGCAGTGACCATTTTCACAGTTCTCAGTAATTTTCTAGTTAACATTAAAGGAAGTTGAACAGTTTTATTTTTTTTACCCGAACAATAAGATGTGAACTGTTATAAGGAAAATGTGAACTCACATTAGTTTTAGGTTTCCTTTGTACTAACAAGAAAGAGGAGGAATGCTTTGTTCATTTGTGAAAAAGTTGCTCGGATCAATCTGATGCTTAGCTCTTGCCAATCTTTGAAAATTACCTTTGAAGTACTTCGTACCCCAAGTCAGAGCTTGTCGATAGCTTGAGTAATTTCCCTGCTGATTGATTCCCAAATCAAGATCCCTATAATTGATATAAGCAGTTCTTGGTGACTTGGACACATATGGTTCCATGTACTTGTAAAGCCTTTGCATCCAATACAAGGGCTGTTGGGATGCCAACATATCATTTGAATCCCATTTCACTATGTATTGTATGTTGTATAGGTTCCCTTTCCTATGAGGAAATGGTATTTCAGATTCAGAAATTTCATCCATTTTCCCTCCTAAAGGATCCAATATCATGAAAGCCAACTTTTGGTGCAAAAATCTCTCTGAGATCCCCTGGAAAACACTTTCTGGGATTGGCTCAACGACGAAATCTGATTTTCCCTTGAAGTTGCTCTTGTACTGTGTTTTCCTATCCAACAGGACTTCTAATGGCTCCCCTTTTTCGTAGCCTGTGAAGTAAAGAACGGACTTTATCCAGCTCATCTCCGCGCAATCTTCCATTTTCAAGCCTAAGTCAGGGAAGCTCCTGTTCATGATAGAAACCAGGTCAGTTCTCAGTCCTAAAAATAGGGAATTGAACAAGAGTTCCGCTGGCTTCGCGTTTCCATGGCTATCAGGTCCATCGATTTGTTGAATAATGACTCGGATGAAGAGACTCCCGGGTAGTTTACTGGCTAAATACTGCCATTTATGGACAAGTTTGACACCTTCTTGGTCTAAACTCTTGTGAATTGTGAAAACTGTGACAAGGGGTGGAACGCGAACCAGCTTCACTTTCCAGGCTGTTATTACTCCAAAACTAGCTCCTCCACCACCTCTAATTGCCCAAAATACATCTTCTCCCATTGTTTCTCTATTAAGAATTCTACCATTGGCATCAACCAAATTGGCATCTATTATATTATCAGCAGAGAGGTCATATTTTCTCATCATAGTGCCAATGCCACCTCCACTAAAGAGCCCACCAACACCAACACTTGGGCATAGGCCAGAAGGAAATCCAAGAATGTCACTTTTCTTGGCTATGTTATAGTAAAATTCTCCAATGGTTGCACCAGCTTGAATCCAAGCAGTTTCATCTTCTAAATTGATGCTAATTGATCGAAAATCGACTAAATCAAAGATTACGAAAGGGGTTTTGCAAAGAAAAGATAGGCCTTCATAATCATGACCTCCACTCTTTACTCTAACTTGTAAAGCATGCTTCTTGCTACAAAGAATGGCTAATTGGATTTCATTTTGTGTCTTTGGTGTTACTATGAATGGTGGTTTAAGTAGTGATGTTGAGTTTAACCATCTTGGATTTTGTTCAGCTGCTTGTAAAAGATATGTATATGAAAAAGATCCTTGGGAGTGAACAATTGAAATAGAGTGAAGAGTCATGCATATAGCAAAGTCTTGAAGATTTCCATGACTTGGTTTTGTAAGAAGAAATAAAACTAGTAATACAATGGAAACCATTGTTTAGATATTATCAAAGAACGAGCATTTTATGGTTTATATATATTGGATTTTTGGCACTCTAAAGTGTTACATAATCCAAACGTCTCAGATATATCACCGAGCAATTTCATTGGACCAAAGTAATATTTTGAGACTTTACAGCTTGTGATAATGTTTATTGGATATGAAGTTTAAGAAAGAAATAAAGACTTTTGAAACTTGTCATCTTAAATATATCATGATATTCGTGTGACTATATATAAAAACATGTCATTAAGTAAAAGATGAAAAGTTTACAGTTAAGTTATTTTATTATACCGGGATAAAAGATAGTTTTGACAATATCTAACTTTTTTTTCAATGAAGGGAACATCGTTAAGAACAATGAAGATCATCTAGAAGTGGTTGGGGGCTTGTGGTTTGTCTTGTTGCAATTCAATCGGCTAACTTTTTTTATGAACTTTAACCGTCTGCAAATTCTTAGGAGTAGAATGCAGCATTGAAATAGGTTGCTATACTCTTTAAAAGAGTTTTTTTTTAAAAGGAGAGGAAAACACGTTGCCGATTGTCAGCTGTAGATAAAGAATTATTGGATTATGAGTCAAACTGATTGTAGATCATTTGCTCCTGCATTGCATATGGGACATTGATCTGCGAATAAAAAAGATGACGCTTCAAAGATATTGCCTTCTCTATTTAAATTTTCACCGACATAGTTATATTGAAGTATAGGAGTGGAGCACATGACAATGCACGTGTGATTGTTTGTGTGTTGTTATTTTCGAGCAATTTACACAATATTAATTTCAATATTTTGTGCACATGTTTGTATTCAACTTACATACATTAGTACTCCACGTAGTTTTTGTTAGGTTTAGAATTTTAATGATGATTAATAATAAATAGCCTTGATTAATGTAAATTTACTATGTGTGCAGATTCACTAATCAAATCCAAGGAGGCATAAGAGAATTTAAGAAGCAACGGCTCTGAAGAACACAAGAAAGGAAAGAAAATTAATCTAAGCATATCAAAGAACCAACGACTATGATATTTAAATTTACCCATCAAAAAAATACAAAGAAAGAAAGGAAATCAGTCAAGAAAGAGAAATTAGCAGAGGAATTAAGAGCAAATGATTGGAAAGATGAAGGAGCCAAATTGCACATTGAGAATGAATCTGGTTGTACTTCACATGCTGGATTCATGAGGCTACCCTTGGGTCCTACTCTTAGAAGATTCTGCCTTAAAAGGAAAAGTCGCACTATCAATGATTTTCCACAATATCAAAGAGGAATCAGGAACTCCATCGAGCACTATTAAAGAATAGGAGGAAGGGCGAGGAAGTTCACGCAACTTAATACATGCTTTTATATCTTTCTAATTCTTAGTACAAACACTGTGCTCTTGAGTTTACTAGTGTTGCAAAAGATAGGAAAATTAGAAGACAAAATAAGAGTTGTGTCAAGCAAAGATAAACATTGTTGTTGAATATCGTTAGTGGTGAACGAACTAAAATCACACTGTTGTAACAACTCAATATTGAAGATCTAAGAGAACCCTTGTGGCCCAAGGGAATTGGATATAGGTATCACACCGATACTGAACCAGTATAAATCTCCTGAGTCTTTACTATTTTTATTTCTGCATAATTTACTTTTGCTGAAATCAAACCTCCTGGAAAAGATTAGTCGACTATTTCTCTCTCTAGTCAACTAAGTTTTTAAATTGGGCACAATTCACCCCTTCCTTTTTTGTGTTTTAGTTTTAGATCACAAAGAAGAGAAAGCGTTTATGATAGGTGTCATGTGAATCCCCAACGCTCCAATTCTTACGGGGATAACGTTCTTATTTGGTTTGTTACAAAAGGTAACAAATATTAATATCAGACTGCAACAAACTAGAGCTCGATTTGAAGCTAAAATAAACAATAATCTAGAGAAATAGTCAAAATAACATAAAAGAACAAGTAGTGTTGCGAAAGCAAATGAGTAAAACTCTCTAAGTGTGTAGAATATTGGTGTGTTGAGGTTTCTTTACTCTTAAGCTTTTACTCTAGTTTGATCGAGTTTCCTCGATCAATTTTCTCTCTACCTCTATAGCAACATATGTAGACTAACAAATATTCGAAACTGGAACCATATAATTAATTAAAGAACTATATATTGTAAGTTCCTTATCAACGTAACATGGATATCAAGAGAAAGTGTTAGATTTCTTAATAACAAGACTATAAGAGACTAGTATTTCTTAATTATCATATATGTATCAGTTATGTTTAGCACCTAATTAGTTTATATCTCATTTTTATCGAGATATTTATGTTTATTATTGATCGTGTATCCAAAAAAAGGTTTTTAACTTCGTATATATACAGTTGCATAATTAGTACATCCTTCGTTTCAATTTAAGTGTCTTACTTTTCCTTATAGTCTATTTTTAAAAATACCTTTCTTTTGGTGGCTCTTTAATTCCAATATTCTATATGACATATTTAAAACCACGTTTTTGCTTTATTGAGCCGAGCCTTCCGAAAATAACCTCTCTATCTTCACAAGGTAGGGGTAATGTCTGTGTACATACTACCTTCTCCAGACTTCACTTATGGGAATACACTGGGTATGTTATTGTTATTGTTGTTATATTTAAGACCACACGATTCAAAGAATATTTTGGTACATTATAAATCTTTAGTTTAAAAGAATCAAAAGTCTTTCTCATTTTCTTAAACTCCATTTTTAGTCAAAATTAAGAAAATTAAATATTTTTGTATTTATACATTCGAAACACAAACAGCCCCGGACTTCAGTAACGTGTGAATTGGACGCGTATCATGAGGTTGAAATAAATAAAAATATTATATTTAAGTGGAGAATTTTTATTATTATAAGTAGAAAAGAAATAAAATAGAAAAAGATAAAAATTTGAAAATTGCTTACGTTATCCTCTTACCAACTCAAACAACCCCTCTCTCTCTCTCTCTCTCTCTCCTACAAAATCTGTAAAACTACAGAGGGAGGAGAAGATAACCAAATTCAAGCAACCAAATTGTAATGGAGAAGCTTATCTATTCCACAACAACTCCATTTCCCTCTAAACTCCATTTAAACCCATCTCCTTCTCTTCCTAGAATTCGCCACGTGGACTTTAACCTCCCTTCTTCACTACTGAGTCTTGAGTCGCGCCGAGTCAACAACTCGCTCTCCTTCAAATGCCTCCATGATTCTTCATTCTCTGTTACCCAAAATGGACATGAGAAAAAACCGTTTACATCTCCGGGTTTTCCAAACGGATCCGGATCGGAGCCCGATTTGCTCAAGCGGATTGCTGAAAGAATATCTCAACAGAACAAGGTAATCCATTATCCTTTGCCAAGATAAAAAAAAAAATTGGGGTAATTTTGGCTTATATTTGAAAATGTTTTTCTTTTGGTAATTTTGATACTAGAAAAATTTGCAAGTATAATTTCTAGAATTTTATTAAGAAAAGTGAATTAGTTGTCCGATTTAGCTCCTAAAGTTGAATGTTTGATACTATTAGTTTGCCTACATTCAGATTTTAATTTGGTAGCATTTTGACTCATATTTATAAATGTATGTTTTTTGTCATTTTGATACGAGAAAATTTGCTAGTATAATTTGTAGAATTTAATTAAGAAAAGTGAATTAAGTAGCCCTATTTAGCTCCTAGAGTTGGTAAAATTTCATACTGGGTTATTCATAGCGTTATCGTACATTGGGATAAGCCCTATTTATTGGCTCTGGATTTTTAAACATGACTTCAATTGCAAATAGCTGAGTTTTAGATTTAATATTTATACATATTTAATGAATTTCTTAACATAAATACACCGTTGGAATAAAAGCTACTGGGTTCAGCCGAACCCATAGCCGGGCTTCTAGCTCAGCCTATGAGGATAAGCAAGAAGTTTCAAACAAATTGGGATAGACAAAGTGTTAAGTTTTGTATCTATGCCCAATTCATTAGTGTTGGATAGACAAAGTGTCAAGCTGGCCCAGATACCACCGCCATCTAAATGAAAAGTTCAGCTCCCATGTTGGTGTATATGAGGAAAGTTAATTAATATAAACTTCAATTTAATGTCGATTTTTGCTTTATTATAGTGTTCTTTAATCACCTTCATGTGAAGAGTGATTAAGTATGTCCATGATTCAGTTAGCCGGTCCTATAACCATTAGTTCCAATTGAACCGTCAAGGGTGGTTTCATACAACTGAGCATCTTTCAATGAGATAAAATATCAGGAGAAAAAACTAAGCTTGCAGTTAAGCTTCAATTTACTTGTTAAATTGGTAACAGCTGGGAAGATAAAATCTTCGTAATCCGTGGAATCCTGAGGAAATATTTGTAAATGTAGTATGCAACTATGCATGCCCTCAAGTTCGTTGGATTTTCCATCTTTTTCAAAATCTTATGAAGTAATTGAAGAGCTTCCTCGGTAGATTTTGTATTTAGATCTGCGGTTTTTGTAACCAGGAAAAACTTCACTAGCTGGCCATTTCTTGCCGGACCTTCTTACACTTGTTGGATATACCAACTTTAAAAGGGGATTGCATTTCAGTTTCAAAGGAAAATTTGCCGTGATTTAGTTATATCTCTCAGTGCCAATGCAACACGTTCACTACCTCATTTTATATATGTATACTGGGTAAAACTTGAGTTGGTTAGGATACTAAATACTGGTTTCTGAGCCTACAATGGTTGAATTTCAACATCCAGAGGGAATAATATTACCTTCTAGTTTTTCAGCATCATGTTTTAGTAATCCGATTGAATATGTGGTTGCTTTTCCAAATCTGTGCTTGTTAATTGAACTGGTATACTTGAGCAAATTAATTAGCAGAATTCTAGTTTCTGATGGAACATGTTTGTTATCTTATACTGTTGACTAGGGTACAATTCAAAAGTCTTATCATCGATTTTAGGTTCTACGATTTGCTTATGAGGTGTTTTTGTTGCTTGGTTTATGGGGACAGATCATTTGGGTACTTGAAAAGCATTAAAAGCACTCATCACAATCTGATGTATGCTGTCAGATGAGTTATAACATTCTTTTCAGTACCGATGGTAAGTTGGTCAGTGTGGCTTTCTATATGCTTTTGCTTGTTTCCTGCATTACTGTAATTGCAATTATGGTCTAAAAACATTTCATCTTTCATGCAAAAACTAGTTGATCCACTTAGATTCAATTTAAATGATGGAAGACGAGTTAGCCACCTTTTTGCACTACAAACCCAACAGTTAGAAGTCCCTCCCTCTTCGGTCATAGGATGGGCAGTAGGTCTCTTTATATGGTCTTTGGCAATTCTCACCTCATGAGCTAGCTTTTGGGGTTCAGTTAAGCCCAAAGTCCATTTCTTAATTCTTATCAAAATCTCTTTACTAGGATTGGATTTTGTTTGAATGCTCTATTTTTGAGTTTCACCAAGGAAACATTGTGTGGTATAATATCTATGCACTACAAATGAAAAACAAATTAGCATTGTGGACATAATTTTTTGGTTCCTTTTTTAACTTTCCATTTATTGATCTCATAAATCATCTGATATTAGGAATACGTTCGCTTATATTCATTTGCCAGACTTAATTTGGAAAGAACAACAACTAGCAATAAATTTTCAATATTGGAGTTATATTCTTAAATAATGAAAACAATGAAAAATTTACCTAATTATTCCTCTACTTTTTTGCCGTTTACATTTATTCTACGAAATTTTTATCTACTATTTGAAACAATAATGCAGAGACATTCTCTTCGAAATCTTAGCTCAATATATACCATTGTTCAGCTAAAACCAATCAAATTATTTGGAAAATATAAGCAACAGAAAAAGAAGAAATACCAAATCAAAAGTCAATAGAGCATGTTTTGCAACTTTACCTCAATAAGTTTTAAAAGAAAGTACTTTTGTTACCTTCTTGGGAAAAAAGTGTTAAAAGAATATACTTTGAAATCTGTTGTATCCACGTGTTAAATTACTAGACGTTCAAGTCGAACAATGTGAAGGTTTATTTAATAAAAGGATGTCATTTGAATGATCTGTAGAAATGGATATGAAACATAGCTTTACATTTTGCGACTGCTTTCCTACAATGAAAGCAAGAAAACCAATATTGAAGCATTAAGGATTAAACTATTAAGTCTGTGTTAGTGAATGTCTATAGGCAGTTGGCCAAGCTTGGTAATCTGAATGCCATGCATGGTTTATCGTTGCAATATAATGATCCTATGGATCTTACGACTGATGTTGCCTAGTATTTGATAAATAAATATCCTGTTTGTCAAAAAAAAAAAAGGATTAAACTATTACTTATAAAGAAGGATGAAGGTGGTGTGTCTTCAATATTTTTTGTCCGCTGTTCTTATCTTATGGGCCTTCTATTAGAATATTCATTAATTTACAGGTAGTTACATCATATCGAAATAGTTCATATTCAACAACCTTCTGTTCAAATAGAAACATACCTTCTTCATTTAGATGGAAGTTAGAAACAGTTTACAACTCTATGAAACTGCAATATTGATGTCAAGATGATGCCAGTAGTAGAGAGCTTTTAGCATAAGCACCACAGACTTGTCAAACCTGTTGGATAAAGTATAAACCAGTAGGAATTGAAGCCGGGTTACGGAGAGGTTCACCTTGCTGTGGTGTGAAATAACAATATTCAGTATATAGTTTTTCAATTATACCATTTAAAATAGCGTTCATTGAATTTCATAGCATCAGGTAACTGGCTAGAAAAGGCCATTGATGGTCCATGCATTACAATTTGCTTCTACAAAAAAGTTTTTCTCCTCAGCATGTCTTGTGTTTTTATATGATTCCATTCAGGTCCTTTCTGCAAGTACCATAGTTCTTCTGTCAGCCGTGTTTGTTATGCTCATCCACCCGGTCATTGTTTCACCAGCATTTGCTAGTTTTCAAGCTGCAACTAAGACTGGAGGACCGGTAGCAGCAGCAGTAGGGAGTCGACTTGTTCGTAATGAACTACTAAGCAGTGCATGGACTGGTTTTTTTGCTGGTTGCCTACACACACTATCAGGTCCTGACCATCTTGCTGCTTTGGCACCTTTGTCAATAGGCCGCACAAGGATGGAGAGTGCGGCAGTGGGAGCCCTCTGGGGCTGTGGTCACGATGCTGGGCAATTGATTTTTGGCTTGTTGTTTCTGCTCTTAAAGGACAGACTCCACATTGAAGTTATTCGTACATGGGGTACAAGAGTAGTAGGCTTCACCCTTCTTGTTATTGGAGCAATGGGAATTAGGGAAGCATCTGAAGCCCATTCCCTGTATGTTGCCCTTGAAAATGGCGAGTCTGACGTTAGTGTATATAAAGGCATTGATACTCCAGTTATTGGGAAGAAAAAGAAAGTCGGCTTTGCAACTTTTGCGACTGGCATTGTCCATGGGTTACAACCTGATGCACTGATGATAATCTTGCCCGCGCTTGCTTTGCCTTCTCGTTTAGCAGGTGCTGCTTTCTTGGGTATGTTCTTGGTTGGAACTGTTATGGCAATGGGAAGTTATACTGCTTTTATTGGCTCATGTAGTCAGGCATTGAAGGATAGGATTCCTAGAATTACTGAGAAGCTCACTTGGGCTTCTTCCCTTGTTGCAATTGGTTTAGGCCTTTCTATTATCATTAGCCAATTTTTTGGTTTTAGCCTGTATTAATTCTAATCCGGCATTTCATTTGTTTATCTTCAATACTAGGTGATGTATTTTTTATGAGGATATCTTTTTGAGTGAAGATTCATCTTCATTAATGAGATTTTCAAGTTATCCCTTTCTTCAATCTTCATCCTATGTGCATAGTAGCAGCAGTTTTTGCTATAAAATGGACTGGGTATCATTCACTATTATTTGATACTATTATCATTTTCCAAGTTTAACTCACGTTTTCTTGTGTAGAGGGTTGATGATTTTCAATAAAGCAGCCTAAATGGCAAGTAGCCGGGTTGAGCCTTAACCTGCAAAATTTTCAACCTGCATAGCATTTTTGTCTCTGGGTAATAAAACTTGAGAGTAAACAAATGATTCAAGCTCCTTACAGAAAATAGTTTTGCTTGATAAATAATCTGTACTGACAAAACAAAACACTTTCTCAAAGGTAGGATTTTTTTACACACCCCTTCTGGATATGCATCTGTTCTCATGAATTGCATTTACAAGATGAACATGATAAACTTTTAGCCACTGCAGCGTGGAGTGAATCGAGTTCACTTATCCCTTATTTTTCTCTTTTCTATTCGCGATTGATTCTATAGGTAATATTAAAGAGAGCTAAACTTAAACTGGGCGGCAAAAAGACCAAAAGTACTTTAATCTAACATGTTGGAGCTTCATATATTAGCGTGAATTCTTGGAAACAGCAGATTCCAACCAAAGTAAATGAACCGAGACGAGACAAAATCCACAGGCTATTTGAAAACAATCAGAGAATAAGCATTAAAATCCCTGTGATTTGCCAAAGAGTATGTACATTCCAACTAAGCAAAAAAGAAAAATGAACCCGTTAGAATCATATCCAACTTTAAGCACACAGAACCATTCGGGGTAGAAATGGCATACATGATTAGGCCTTAGGCCATAAGCAGTTGTTAATCAAAAATCTCAGGTTCATTTCTACGGAACGTATGCATCAAAAGGCTATTTCCAACTCAAGCCATCACCAAAGAAGCTGCTGCACCGAAGAACCACAGGAATGCATGACCAAACGCACTATCCAGAAAACCAAATGCACTATCCTGAAAAGCATTATTGCAGAAGCCTCTTGTTTTGCGTCTATATCACTATTACTGCTTTTTGTTGATGTCATACAGCACACAAGCATCAGCCGCAGTTTTCATCTGAAACCAGAAAAGCGTCATATTGATAACAGGATTTAGCACTAGGCAAAACAAACTCGGCAAATAAGATATATTACATATGCACAGTTCTTCTATAGACTGTCAAAATCTAGCATAGGTAACAGTTGTCTACCTGGATAACATTAACAAATTGTTTGATTGCCCATCCAAATAGAAGAAGAGCGAGTAAGACGAGATAAATCCAACTTGTTGTTGCAGCATTTACAAGAACCTAAATATGAAATGCAGAAATGGTGAATCAGCTTCTTAAACACAAGGCAACAGAAATAGAAAGATATAAAAGATCATAATAGCAGTGGTCTTACATCAATAAGACTTTCAGCTTGGTTCCTTGCAAGAAGGAACAAGGTAATATAAAGAACCTGGTCAATAAAAACTAAAGTTAGATGGCAACTTCTGTCCAGAAGAAGAAGCTCTAAGCTTTTCAGGATCGATAGAGATAGTTACCTCACACGATACGCAACAATAGCCCATAAACATCCTATTTCCATAATAAAGCTTGAATAGCCAGCTACTGCTGTCTTTTACATCTTTATGACTTGTTTTTCCTACTAAGAAGGTACTGCAATAATATTTGAAGAAAATTATTCATCTGACAAAGCCCTGATCAATGAGAAGTCTAAAACACAAGATAGGAGAAAAGATAATGCAGAACCAATCCTTGCTTAAAGGATATCTGTTAAGTGGAGAGTTAATTACCTATACATTTGCAACCAATGGCTGGAAATATCTAGAGCAAGCAATGACAAGAAAACTAGACCAGGCCTGGAAGCATGAGGACACAGGAGGAAATAAATCTCAAATATGCCAGAGCTTTTAACAACCCAAAAGCTTACGCATATAGGAGTTAATGAAACTACCTATAAACCTGCGAAAGAATCACCAGCAGACAGGCAGTGCTAACCCTGAAAAATCATACCGGCCCACATAAACAAGAAAGTAGAATTGAGATCTTTAATATGAAAGCAAGGGAAAATATATTAGATATTCAACCACAAGAGTTTTGAGGGATTGAGAGTTGAGGGTTAGAAATGTGGCACTACCTATCTGTCACCATGTCCAAAACAGCCCCAAACGTTGAAGCTGAATCCAGAGAGGAAAATTGACAATCAAAATACTTTTTCAGTTGCCTAAACAAATTGGCAATCAAAAATATATGGCAGGTCTTACATATGAAACCCAAATACTGTCCATCAAAGCCAAACAACTGNCAATAAAATAAAGGGTATCCCGGTTAACTAAACTCCCGCTATGTGCGGGGTCCGGGAAAAGGCCGGACCACATTGGGTCTTATGCATACAGCCTTACTTGCATTTCTGCAAGAGTTGTTTCCTCAACTTGAACCCATGATCTCATGGTTATTTGGCGGCAACTTTTTATGAAGTTACTAACCTGTATCAAATTTTAGTGCACACATCACTAGTAACCAATAACTTGAAATCCATAAAAGATTCTGTGAGAAAATGAAGTCACAAATCCTCAAGCCAGTTACCTTTCAAATTAAGCAAATAATTACCTTTAAAAAATAAGGG